AGAGAGAGAGAGAGAGAGAGAGAGAGAGAGAGAGAGAGAGAGAGAGTATGTGGCTTGGCTTTGAATTGCTAAACCAAAGTTTGGGGAGGAAGGAATCATATTTTGAATTCTATGCATACTGATCATCTTTGAGCAACAGAGTGTACATTTTTATTCTGCTGGTTATTTAGGAGTAAATGTTGTTAAAAAAAGAGTTGGAATGTTACACAGAGGTGAGACCTGCATTAATAATTTCATCGAAATTAAGTAAGCAAGGTTTATATTTAATAAAAATGTGCTTTACTGCAAGTCTCAAAAGTAAAATGTATCCCAGAACCACTCCTGTTATCGTCATGCAGGTAACAGTCAACAAAACGGTACACAAACGTTAGTAGAGAGCGACTGACGGACAAATCATGAACTGACTAATGAATTTCAATTTGAATTCCCAGAAACAATGCAGAAGCCACTTGTTAGTTTTTTACGATGATGGTTTATTTTACTTGAGGCGGCACAAAAAGTGTAAATAATGGAAAGATATTCATGAACTAATAAAGGGTTACTTCTCAGTATGACGTGTTACAATTAACAGGTACTTGTACTTAAGTATTTCTAATTTAGCTACTTTATATTTCACCGCTACATTTTGGAGGGGAAGATTGCGCATTTTACTCCACTACATTTATTTTACAACTATTGGTTACTAGTTAATTCACTCAGTACTATTTACAGTACAGTAAACTCATCATCATAAAATATAATGTCTAATACTGCAAGATAGTTAAAATGATCTGTAGTTTGTGTGGTCCAGCTGCAACATTAAAATACTAGTTAAAAGGAAAAGCTTTAATGATAATAATCCAATAATAGTAATAATATAATATGAACTCAGGTCAATTACCTGTAATGGACTACTTACAAAGTGTAGCATTGGTTATACTTTAAAAAGTACAGCATTGAGTTACTTCTGAAACTAGAAAGTGGCATAAAACAGAATAACTCAATTAAAGTAGCTCAAAACTGCACTGGAGGACAAACTTAAGTAATTGTACTTTGGTATTTTTGACCATCTAAAGTAATTTTACATATTGTGATTACATACAAGCGTACAGTGTGTCCTTAACGTCCTTCCACCACTGACTCCGCTCTAGATAAAAAGCTCAGTTAGTTGCTGTTGGCTGAAAAACACATAATGAATGTTTTCTGTTAAATACAACCACGAATATTTCATCAGTCTTATTAATTAAGGGTCATTAGAGGCAATACATGTAAATCAACAGGGCCGGTTGTGAATGAGAGAACTCAACACTTCAGTCATTTATTCCTGTTCAGTCAGTGACATCAGAGCAGATGGGTCTGATGTAAATGTTTGGCACTTAAACTCCAAAGGACAAGCTGTGCTGCGATCTCACATACTCACATGAAGAGTTTGGATCCAAAATAATAAAGTCACCATTTAAAAAAAGTGACAAAGGGGAAAAGGTAAAATAAGTGATGGCAGGCAATTAAGAATTGTGAGTTATTTCTGATGACAGATGAAGAAAAACAATATTTGCATCACATCATTTTTCCCCTTTTAAAAGTGGATTGGAAAAGAACTCTTCATCCTTAAAGCAAGATTTACAAACACAACTTTACCGTTGAAAAGACACCAAATAATACACAAGTACATTTTGTTAATGCAATAAATAGAAACATGTGAAGACAATAGAAGCTTTTAGGTAGTACATCATGAGCACTGATTACATCTACTGCATGATTAGAGCAGCTACTTCATACATTCATATATGAGTCAACCCTGCGGTTGAACTGTACATGTTCATTTACAGCAACGTACATCAAAAACAAAATCTAGTAACAAAACTAATAATTTGCAAGTTTTTACAATCATCTTCCACACATAATCAAATACAGCATTATTGAAATTTAGATATATTTTTGTAGTAATACATTAAAAGCTCTCCAGTTTTATTCATAATTACAGTACGCTGCTCACATCACCATGTAACATAATGAAGAGATGTATAGTGGCTTCAGAACATTTTCAGGTCCATTTACATGTTGCAAACTTTATTGCGTTATAGATTTAAGTTAAAATAGTGAAAATTGGCAATTTTTTGGCAATTAATTCTACATACAATAACCCATAATGACAAAGAGGTTGTTGTTTTTTAGTAGATTTGTAATAGTCTGATGCTTTCCAAAGCCACTGTGCGAGTCTCTTTAAAACACTCTTTAACTAACAGAACTGCAATTTACCGTCTCCAGATAATCACATGAGAAATCTAATTTTTTGACAAAAAATTGAAATGGTCAATTATAGTCTTAATGTTTAAAGTGTGCGCACATTTGCTGACGATTTCATACATTCCCCTCTGAAACTAAATGAATAGACAGCGAGATAACGAGGCGGAGTGATGAGGAGAAACTCGCAGTGATCTCATTAAAAACTTTGCTTCTCTTCTCACACCTCCAACTCTCGCAGACAAGTACACAAATCACACACACACACAAACTGCAAACATGCATGCAATACATATGCGCTCATGTGCATGTGAGCATTTACAGTGTACATACACACACTGAATGCAGATGGTGGCGATTACTCACGCCTCAGTAACACTGTAAAAGTCAGGCACATTCTCCAACACTTTAATAACATTCCTGCCTCTAACCACAACATCTCACCACACACACACACACACGCACACACACACACACACACACACACACACAAAGTTGGGTATTAGACTGTAATATAAAAATTAACGGAATATAAGTGGATTGAAGTTGAGTAAACATGAGGTTTACGGAGCTGATTTAAATTTTCAGTAGTTATACAGACACCTTTATGGTTTCGGAGCAGCAGTATAAACGAGTGATTCGACGGACCGTACGAGGGGAAAGGAAAATTAATTCCTGAACAAATACAATCAAAAATGTATCTACTCTGCCTCCCCATCATCATCATCATCACTTCCTCCCTTTCACACACCTGCATTTCTGTCAGACCCGTCACTCCTCTCCCTCAAGCGCTCCTTTCATCTGCTCGCTGCCTCGTTTGGCCACCTCGGATTCCTTCAGAGCACTGATGACTGGTAACCATGTCGATGGCAGCTCGGGCCCAGTCCTCTTGACCTGGTTGAGGTGGCTGAGGGCGGCGTACAGCCCGGAGTTGGCCCCGCCGCGGACGCCCGCCTCCTGCTGCTGCTCTGTGTAGTACATCTCCAGAGCAGCCGGGGTGCAATGCTTCTGCTGTTACAGCAGAAAGATAAACACGTCTTGAACAACATGAGTCCATGACAGCAGGTCAACAGTAGGTTTGTTCCTCACTTATTGGTTAAGTACATGAAGACGTTTCAGGAGACTGAAAGTGTGCATTCATTTTTTGAGTCCTTGTTGAAGAAAATGGAAATCATCAATATGTTAATGATGAATAAGTGGGAACATTTTACAAAAGGGAACACAACAGTTTTGAGTAGTTACCAGGGAATAAATGAGGAACTAACCGGTAGTAAACAATTAGTTAACGGACAGTTTTGAGGAGCTCCTAATCAAATTATAGAGAGTGGCTAATGATTAATTAGCCACTCTGTATTATTTGGGAAACACATGTTAATGAACTAATATGTAAGCTTGTGTTATTTCAGGCAAAAAAAACATCCATTGACTCTGAGACAAAGGAACCAGAAGTACAACATTGCTAACTCATTTCCAGCTTTTAGGACTCATATCTGCAGCACTCTATTAGTTTCTATTTTTGTGTCTCCTCAAGTAAAGTGGTGCACCGTACTGAGTTGTTCGCACGGAATCATTACCTTGTTCCTTGTAAAGTGTTACCGAATAAGTTCTCAGGGATTGTTTATTCATAGAGGTCTCTGTCTAACATCATGTTAGACTGTATTCAGGTCAAAGTAACTGGAAATGATCCCATGTTGTACGATAAAGATTGTCACAGGTTATGTTTGTCTTTGTGTCCTTTGGGGAAAAGTTCCTAAAATTACATCTCAGCTGAAGAAGCTCTACAGAGGTGAAACTAAATCCAAGTTCTTTCACATGGTGCTAGCGGTGTTGACAATCCCAATATAGTTAAAGTTTACAGTAATAATACACCATGGTTGCAAGGTCAATTTAGGACGAGCCTTCACTAAAGGAAAAAACACGATGTGCAACATCTTTAAACTCAAATTAACTTGTTTTTGAGGAGGGTGAGTGTGTTCGAGACAATGTGGGTGAATTAAATCAAACAAACTGGGCGTCCATCCTGTTAATGTTATGGAAAGAGCCCACTGAGTTGTGTTGACCTCACAAGCGTTTCTCTTCCGAGGATCCACTACCTGACCTTCCCTCTCAGTGAGGAGTCGAACCTCTGAAAAGCACAGCAGTGATTTCGCCTCCCTCCATCCTCACTCCTCTTTTTATGTCTCCAACAACGCATTAGCAGGAAAAAATGCTGAAAGCAACTGTAACCGGCAAAAACTTCAAAAGCCTTGCCGGAAGGTCCCCCCCTCCCCCCTTCCCTTCCCTTCCTTGCTTTCCCCCTCACTGTTAAGCCTTTAATCACAGTTTAGTCACGCTCAGCCCTAATTAAAGACCCCTCCGATTCACAGGCGGGCGTCCCAATCTCTGCCTGACCAGAAAGCAGACTCTGTAGCTCCCTCCTTCTCTCTCTCTCTCTCTCTCTCTCTCTCTCTCTCTCTCTCTCTCATTTCTTATGTGAGACAGGCTCTTTAACTAACATGCGTGGCAGCGGTGGCTCGCTACACGATGCCTCCAAGGTGTCGTTGGGAGATAATGAGTTTGAGTTTCCAGCTCCAGTTTTCAGAGAATCCTCCCGAAGTGACTGATGTGAGGGTGTGCCGAGAAACAAAGCACCAGCTGCGTAGTAGACTGTGTAAGTGCCCTTTGAGTGGGTGACGCACAGACTACTGCGGCCTGGATAATGAAATAAGAAGTCTGTGATATCAAAGGACGAGACTATTACATGAGTTGGTTCTGCTGTTCTCTGCTGTACTGCAGGAAGATTTTCTTTCTCTTCCTAAATCCATGTTCATACATCTGTGTGTGGTCTGCAGACACACAGTTTATGCACATTCAATTTTCTGAAAGGATAGTAAAAATGAAAAATGCCATATGCTAAGCAGCGGTTTAATGACTGCGTATGTGAGCTCATCTATGTGTGTGTGTGTGTGTGTGTGTGTGTGTGTGTGTGTTCATGCTGCCTACCTTAAGGATGAAACCCTCTGGGCAGGTAAGCTGGTCGTACCACATGGCTTTGTACATGAGCAGGAGGAGCAAGCTGGTCAGGAAGGCCAACGTGATGAGGATCAGGCCTGTGATCTGAGCAACACACACACATGAACACACACACATGTACACCACTTCAGCAACAAGTGCCTTCAATACTTAAAAAGAATAAGGCTGGCAATTTATTTTTGTTTTTGCCAACAAATTCTGTGAAAAGACCAAAACCAACAATCCCTTAGTCGTCTCTTGATACTTGCTGGCTTCCCAACTCTGTCCGTGGCACACAGTGTTTATCAATGGGATTGATTACTACTGAAGACAGGTAAAAAGTAGTAACAAATATCCAATTACATTTTTAAAAAATGGCTCAATATTTTTGTAAAATGGTTTTGCATCGTAGCAAACGCTACTCAAACAGACAAATGAAGAGCATTTGTTGGTGGATTATTTTAAGTAGCAGATTAATACACATTGGGAGATCAGGTGAGCATTAATGGAAGCGCGGCACTGCATGTGGGATTGACTGAAAATAAACTACAGTGTGTGTGATCATGGTAATATGGCAAACATCAGCCAGTGCAATTGTTTGGCTTATTTTATTGTCTAGCTAAAATTTCACTGATACAGCATATGCGCTGTAAATTATTTCTCCTGTGTTCTGCTATGAGAAAAAAATCTGAATCCTGAAGGGAGACATTTTTATTGATGGCTCCTAATGGCGCCCGCAGTTTGGTACATCAGGCTTTGGATACACAGTTAATACTTGTAAGTGGGATCCATCCATTGTTAGTTTTGGTCTTTTTATTTGGAACAATACTTCAGGTTGTTGTTGTACCTTGGCTTTGTCTGAAACATCACTGTAGAAGTTGATATTCAGCTTCTTGATATTGGGCAGATACAGCTTGTTCTTCTTCTGCTGCAGCTGATATTGTGTCGACGTCTTCACAATGACCTGGAGCAGAAACAATGCACTGTTATTGGGACTCTTGTGGAGAAAAACTGAGACCTGCTAATTATGCGATTTGTTTTACATTATGGTTGATGGATGATTTTGTCCCCAGTGTTCAGCACAGGTTGTGACCCACTGAAAATACAATTTCCCATAATACACGAGCATCATTTGCAAAGGCGGACAGTTTTAATCGATGCCTTAAAAACACATTTGGGAGCTACAAAGGTGTTTTTTTATGTTAATGTTTCAGCAACATCTAATCAGCCTGTAGAACATCCTGTGCTACAACAAAAATATGATTGTGAGAGCTTTCCTCTTGCATTATGCATTCAAAAGGTGCCCGCATTGCGTGGGCTGAGGCCAAGGTTTTAACCTGGGACGGGAGGTAAGGGAAGGTGAATACAGCAGTCTCACTGTTGGGGCTTTTGCTTGGAAGGGAAGTATGCCCACGTGAATTTTAATGGTGTTTGCCCAGACGTGTTCTGCAGCGACTCGTAATCTGTTAGCTATTTCCGTAATGCACTAAAGCGTGGTTTGTTGTGGTCTGCGAGGAACTAAGAATCACCGTATTTTAGAGAAAAACAAACATAAGTAGGGAGGCACATCAGCAGACTCACAAACACTGACCTAATAGGCCGCACTTACCTTGTCTGCGAACGGCTGCTGGAGCTGGTTGACCTCCAGGGGTGTGATGAGGGGGATGTTGTCAAAGCCGTCATCCGCAGACGGCTGCTTCTCCAGTTTGTCAGACAGATTGCTGCCTAGCTTCACCATGGCTGCTTAGGTGCCCGAAAATGCCTGGACTGATCTGGAGAGCGGGCCAGACAGCTCAGGTCAGACTGACTCAAACTCTGTGCCTAGTAACCAAATATGGCAGCGCTGCTTGCAGCTCAAATCGAGGACAGTGCCAGGGCAGGAAAGAAGATGGAGAAGATGGTAGTGTGATGAGGAAAAACAGGACCATAGGCTGTATATAAGAAGGACAAGAGTAATACAAACCACAGAAGAAGTAGAAGAGAATAAAAAAAGTATGTCTGATACCGCAAGAAATAAGACTGATATGCAATGTTGGCCTATATGACATATTGTACAAAGATTCATGTCAACCTCAGGATGAATAGCATAACTTTGGTGAGCATCAAGTCAATATTTCATGGCATTCCCCATCAGCCTCAGTTGTACTTTGAGTTTTGTGTTAATTAGCAAATATTAGCATAGGCTACTAACACACTAAGCTAACATGGTGAACATGGTAAACATTACACCTGCTAAACACCAGCATGTTTGCATTGTCGTTGTAAGTATGTTGGCATGCTGATGTTAGCATTTGCTGTTGAATCTTTGACTTGTGAGCTGGTTAAATCAAACACTATCAATACATAATGGTAAAAAGGTAACAATTCTGTGTTACGGTAGCTTGTGCAGGATTATTTTCTGTCCGACAGCAGTGACTTCCTGGAGGCTTTGCTGGTTGCAATTGCTGAGAGCCAATGCAAAACAAACTTGTGGTTAAGTTTTGTATCAGAGGTGCTGGTAGGTGGATTTCGTTACATTTGGACAGAGCAAAGCTAGCGTGTTCCCCAGTTTCCAGTCTTTACGCTAAAATAAACGGCTTGCAGTAGCTGCATATAAGAGAAGGATATGAATCTTCTCGCAAGATAGCAAGTATTTCCCAAAATGTCTGAGTATTCCCTCAATAAATGATTTATTAATAAGTAAGTGGAATTATATTTATATATCATAAAGTGGTGGCATATTTAAGTGACTTCAGACTTGCATCCTCATAGGGATGCTTTCCTCTTGTTGGTGCAATACAACAATCTAAAGTAAACATGTTTCATAACCACTGGGTATACATAATATTGTCTATATCAGCCCCATCTCTTCCTCCAAACTCTTATCCTTAATGTTTAGAATCGACGTGTAAATCCAACACGTCACCAACACGGCGCCGGACACCTCTCTGCTCTGATAATGATTCTATTTTCTCGCCTCGATCAAATGATCATCTAAATGTGGAGGAAAGAGGTGAGGATCCACTTATCTCATTCACACAGTGCAACACAACACCTTCCCTCAGCCAAGGACCCCACAGGCCCCAATGACGCCAGTGACTCACAATGATGATACACTCACCAGGAGGCAAAGAGCTACAGTGTTTATGCTGCAGGAGACATCCCTGTTGCACTGGGAAAGTGTTTTTGATAAAGGAGATACGGATTGTTAACTAAGGCTGCTGGACACATCCATGATCTGCTAAAGAAGGAAGTATACTGTATATTGTTATCAAGTGGAAACCTTGAACCAAATTAAATTCTAGACATTTGAGATTTTGGACTCATATTACAGGAGACTAAGCCTACAAACAGATAATACTGGTGCAAAAATTATCACCTCTAAACTGGCAAAAAGACAAGTATCTTGATAAAGAATCTGTTCTTCTTTTTTAAATTTTCTTTAAGCTTCAAGTAGTTAAAGAGCAGCATTTGTCATTGGAGGAAAAAAATAGATCTTAAGTGAGTATAATACTCAAGACCTACATAGACTACTTGTTGTCCTTCGTGAGTGGGTGGCTAAAGTGGTCATCTGTGCTGCCGACCAATTTTTTCCTCCCAACAGTTGGAGGGAAGTGTGGATACCATGAATCATCCTGAATCTGTGATTAACAAATGAGCCGGGTGTTGCTGTCAAACACTCAGTGTTCCCACACTCTGACAGGAAATGAGTCCAGCAAAAGAAAACCGCAAATGACATCCTTTAAATGCACATTTTACCTACAATTAAAAAAAACGATGGCATGATTATAGTTTAATTCATTGCCCACAATCTGGCATACCAATTTAACAGGACAGGGAGGACACAGCTTTCTGAAGGTGAAGACGTGCTGTGTTATGAATAGGTAAGAGTGGGCTGTTTATGCCTGTGCCTCTCAAGCTCTTCAGGGTTCACTGGTCATGCATATCTGAACTGCATTGGAGACTGCTGAGACAAGATATACAGGCTGTCACCAGGAATCAGAGAGCAGGGATGCAACAGCAGCACATGACATAGAGAGAAGCCTGATTAAACTAATTCTCTGTCGAATTTGGCTGCAGATCAGAACATGTTATTCCATCCGGTGAAGCCTGTTTTTGCGTACTTTTATTATCTTAAATGTCACACTATACATGAGCTGCGGACTTAACTAATGTATCCATAAGCCCTGAGGACAATCAATAGGCTGAATGCGTATTTAATTGTAGCCGTTTATGTAACGTGGCGGTAGCGCAAATTACAACGCAATCCAGCGAGACAGCCCCATACAACACCCGATTAAAAGATGCGATGCTTGTCCATTTATTCACTAAAGCAGATGAAAAACCATGAATCACTGGCACTAAATCACTTCATCGCGTCACGAGACGAAACACTCTCCTATGGGTAGAATTGCGCAGCGGTACAGTCTCTCTCTACCCGCAAACACGTGTGTCTAATGCACAAAATACCGGCTGCGCACTCAGAAACATAACAGTAGAAAAGAGAATATAAACTCACTGTGGTTTCTCCGTGCTCGCTGGTCGTCTGTGGACAGGATCGGACCTCACTGATGCTGCTGACGGGGACTCGGTGTGAACGCCGGTTGCCGTGGTGATGTGTGATTCACGGTAGCACTGCGCATGTAATTCAGCCCTGGAGCGGCTCGGTCCTCCGGAGGAAACTGGCTGCTCGGTGTGAATGCGCATCCCCACCGCGGCTCGCGGGGGTTGTGGCTGATCAGGAAATTGCGTTTTGTCTGTGGGAAATAATCATATCTCGGTTTATCTTGAGTGTTTTGTCGTCAATACGGCAAGACAGGGCCTTGAGGTCTTGTTTGTCTCTGAGTGAATTAAAAGCCACATATAGCCTGTTATTTAATCCCTGCACAGAATTGGAGTGCGCTTTATATTTATAATTCGACGTGTGCACATGGTAACATGACATCAATAAAATAGGAGACAACGAAGCAATTGTTGAACGTACAAAACCAGATAAAATAGCCAGTATACCCAAAATAAAAATACAGTGGCAATGCAACAGCAGTTCCCTAAATGTCCTCTTAATTTACCTCTACGTTAGATAAGACCATTTTAGGACAGCATGTGTTCATGTGTCTGCTGACCTCATGGTGGAAAGTAACGTCAGCCACATTTACAGAGGTGCTGGACTTAAGTTCAGTTTTGAGGTACTTGTACTCGACTTGAGTATTTCTAATTACTTTTACTTCTAAAATACACTCCGTTTGAGAGCGAAATGTTGTGCTTTTTAATACTCTACATTCATTGAATAGCTTTAGTTGCTGGGGACATGTAAGACCCCTATTTTAGCATTTATAATTAGCATTATAAACATGTAATACATGGTCTATAACACACTATAAAAATGAAGCGGATATAGGGATATTTTATCAGTGTGTTTATTAACACACACATACAAAACAATTTGTCACCAATTGAACTTTTCCTATGAAGACATATTTAATATTATAACAACAGTGTTTACTGTCTTTCATTATCTGTTTATACAACATAATCCACACCAGCCTAACATTCATATGCTTACAACTACAGTGTTGTATAAACCAAATATTGCATGCTCATATACTACTTATGAATGCTAACTAGGGGGACTTGAAGTGTTGCTACTTTACAAATTCAGATTTCACATACAAAAGTGATTAACTTGTAAAAAAAAAAAAGACATTTTAACTTTCCAATAGTGTAAATAAAATAGTTTTATGTAAACTAACATTAATATTCTGCTTACATATTCATGCATCAGTAAAAATATTCCATTAATATGATATAACTCTCTCCATTCTGAATAATAAGCACTTTTACTGTTGATTCTTTTGGAACATTTTGCTATTGAAACCTCTGTACTTTCTAGCATTATAAATTTACTTTCACTTGTAATAGTGTTTGAGGTATTGCTTCTTTAACTTAAGTGACAGATTAAATAGTTATTCTAATTTAGGATAAAGTTCTCCAGCTACAGAACATGAGTTTGTACATCAAAGGCCAGCAGACAAGGCACAGCTCAGTTGCCTTTGACCTACCAACAGATATCCCGTGGCCCAGGTGACCTGAGGAATCTTCAAAGACATATTCAAGCATTTGTGTATTTCTGGGTTATTGACTCTTGAAACAAAGGTTTCTTGCTGTGAGGAAGAGTTAGGAGGAGCATCTCAAGGGGAGGTTTTTGTTCCGTGGTGATGCGGTTGCACTCTCTCAAGTGAAGGTGAGAAGGAAGTGATGCATATGCAGAGGTGTGTTTCAAAGAGAAGCGTATTTTTGAGTATATATTCATACGTGCGTGTGTGTATGTGAGTGTGAGACAAGCCTATGCTGAGAGAGAGAGAGAGAGAGAGAGAGAGAGAGAGAGAGGGAGAGGGGAGAGTGATGTGTGTGGAGAATGAGTGGGAAGAAGGAGCCAGGCTCGTCTGCAGATTTAGATCAACCTTTTCATGGAAAGAGGACCCATGCTGTTTTCCTCTTTGGCCGTGGCTGACTGTATGAATTCATTATGCCTTTAGGGGAGCACTCGTCCAAAAATCAGCACTGAAACCCCCCCGCCCCCCTGCCAACCCATCAATTGGGCCTACATTTATTATTTTGACCTTTCCTTTGCGGGGGAGTGACATCAAAGTGGATCCTCGGCTAGTTCCTCTGTAAGGAGACGGAGGTGTCATCCTCACAGTGTGAGAGGCAGACTGCCGGCCTGCGCTGGTTTTGTTGTCAGTGAAGAAGAGAGACGGAGTCTGGGTTAACATAATTAAAATGAGAATCAATTTGGTTGCGGTGCGTGGAAGGAAAACTGGGTGAAACCAGGCGTGTTAATGTTTGGGCTTGTTTGTTTGTGAACCTTTGAAACATTCAGATGATTTGATGATTTCGCAAATTCAAATCTGGTATTTGAAATAAATATTACTCTTACAACCTGACATAATCATGATCAATCAATCAAACCTATTATATGTGTTTGTATCTGTTTGATTTATATCAAAATATTCCTTATAACAATAATAATACTAGCATTTGTCACATTTGTTCCATATAAAGCATTAAAAACAAATTCACCTACAATCATTGATGTTGAGTCAGACAATGTCATTAACGGTAATTTAAAGACCGTTTAGTAACTTAGAGGTCTAAAAGCTTTCCTAGGACGTCCTATAAGAGAAAAGGCTGTCCTCCTGTAGATACCCAAGAGCACCAAAACTATTTTGCAGCAAATTGGTTCAAATTGGCAAAGTACGTTTTGACATTTGAAGTTCAAAATATCAAATGAAAAGAACAATTTAAACTGGTGAAATCATTTAAATGGATTCCTTTAATCAGATGTCATAAACATAAACAGGCAGTTCTTTCTAAAAGTTTGAACTGTGTTGTTTTATTTGAGGCAGAGCGGTGATGATCTGGTTAAAGGAAGAAGAAGAAGAACAGACGGTGTTAGTGTTCACCATAAACAATGTAAGCACAGTGCTTCCTTGTGTCTCCAGTGTTTTCTTACAGCCATTAGCTTTCGTTGATATAAAGTGTATAAAGACCACAATATTTAATTTAATCCAAAAAAAGACAACTATTTTTTTAACTTAAACTACCAATTTAGATTTGAACTCTAAATAACACAAATACACATTTTGTAAAGTTTTAGTTCAGTTAGATGATGTTCAAATACAGTATTTTGTTTAAATGTTTGGGGGGAAGTTTTGTTTTTCCTACTTACTTTATTTAACTGCACGTAAAAAAAGAAAAAGAAACTTTGAGGCTGTAAAGAATATATATGTATATATAGTTCTAGAGCACATCTAAAGACCATTATACAGTAAATGAAGAAACCCAAGGTCTCCAACCATGGTATAGGGAAACACTAGACTGTAGCTCAAAGAGACCTGCAGCAGGACTGGCTCTGCTGCTCGGCTTTCCTCTGCCATCCGACCTTTAACCATCTCTTCTCTGGCTCAACGGAGCACCAACCATCTTCCCTTCTCAACAGAAAACTCATGTATTAAACAACATTGCCCTCCTCCCACTGCATAATGTAGCATGCTCTCTAAATATATCTGAAGTTTAATTCTGTTTCTTTCTCACTCCTTGTTCAGACAGTACGGTCACACCACTATTAAAAGAAAACCAAGGTGTCTATTGCCGTCATTATTTTCGGCACGTCTCTTATTTTGTAGCACTCAAAACTCAAAATACCAGCAAGAACATCAGTGAAACACCTGAAGACGCGTGGTCATACAAATAGTACAACGCATGTGTAAAGTGTGAAGTGGCTTCTATAGTCTATTACGACAGAGTTCCTAAACCTTCATTACAATATGATTTATTACCGTCTTTTATTTTCATATCAAAAACAAAATAAAAAGAGTAATTATGCTTTATCAAAGAATCCTAATTGGTTTGCATTCATTTTATTTTTATGACATTAACATTTTCACACTTTGAAATGAGAATATATTTCCACTTAATAAAACGAATAGTTCCGATTGATTTGCTCTCCACTTTCTGTCTGCTGTATATTTTGTAATTCACCTCATCATGTGAGCAGCAGTCACTGACTTTATTCTATTAATTGTAACCTGGACAGTCAGATGTAGAAATGTACTGTACAGAGTACATTGTTTCGGTTAGTCTCGGTGACATAAAACTTGGATAGGGAGGTTAAAATCAAAATGTTAAATAAAGGATCCACACATAAGACTGATACGTTAAGTATGAGATGACTGTAAATCTTCACATATTGTGTTCATACAACAGAAATGCTGTTTCGTACTTTGTCAATGCTACTGCAGTTTGTTTTTAATCAATGTCAAATGCTTTAACAACAGGGCCATCTAGTGTCTGACTAGCCACATAACCACTGCAGTAGAGGCTGAGCCCAACAACAGAGATTGAGTTTCTGTCTCCTGACTTGTAAGAACTGTCGGTGCAGGTTTTACTATCAGATGGATGAGCTGCAACAGATCTCACTAAAGGGTTATAGTTCAACCACTGAGCATGTTCAGTGTGATGCAACTCTGGATCAGTTGGTAAATCTATTCCTCACCAACAGATGGCAACACCACATCAGTGACAAGAATGATGTAACATGGGACTGTGTTTTCTTCATTCGCTAATTGGACATTTGATAATGAACAAATTATAGTTTGTTGATGTGAAAATGCAACTATACATTAAAAAATGTTTAGAGAATGTTGAATGATGTAAAATATGTTTAATGACAACAAATAAATTAGAATCAAGATGTCAATAACGAGTTCATGCTTTGTTGAAGATTTAGATATCAGGTATTGTTGATGGAGACGTTATTTTTCGGTCAGTGTTTTATACCCATGATGCGTTTGTCAGGAACTTTTCAAGGTTTAAAGGTGCCCCGTTTCTGGTCCAAGGCCGAACGCAAAGCGAGAAAGGAGACGGTGGTGTGAGAGGTGACCAGCATGGAGGAAGAGTGCTATAGGATCAAGACGGTGTCGCAGGGCCGACAAGGATACTGGACAACCTGGGACAAGGTTGTCAACCGGAAGATCAATTGATCAGACTTTTCGCAGATCCCAAAGGCAAGACTCGGCTCCCTTACCAGGTCAACCTACGAACCCACACCAGTGGTTCAGGAACAAGGAATGCTGCTTGCTCTGCAACGCTCCCAATGCAAGCCTCCAACAGACCTTTATCAGGCTGCAAAATGGCGTTTTCTACAGGTGGTGCCATGACCAGGTGCTGAAAAATCAGGCCGAGGGGCACAGACAGGAAAGCAGGGGATGTTCACCACCGATGGAACACCACATCTACTTTATCGGGGCATGTGGAGGTGGAAGAATCACCGGGCAAAGAGAAATACCAAGGCTCTATTGCGACCAGGAGTGGAATATGAGTCAATCTTGACAAACAGCTCCAGTTACACAGCGAGATTATCACTATGTCTCTCCATGCTGACATAGTAGCGTGGTCCACTACACCGAAAGCTCTACTCCTCATTGAGCTCACAGTACCATCGGAGGAAGGGATTGAGGCCACCTTAAAAAGATAGAAGAAGTACTCAGGTGCTGGTTGCTGAGTGCAAGGAGGCTGGCTGGAGGACTGTGATCTACCCAGCAGAGGTTGGATGCCGTGGATTCATGGGGCTGTCAACCACACTGCTGCTGAGGGATGCAGGAGTGACAGGAGGAAAGCTGAATAATTGGCAACGACAAAACTGGCAGAGGAGGCGGAAAAGGGCAGCATTTGGTGTTGGGGGAAGAACACCTTACCCAGACGCCAGCTGTAGGGGGTGCAAGTGTTCTGCCACCAAGAGATGTCCACATTTAAAGGAGTGAAACATTCAGGAATGGTGGCTCACGGCCCAGCAGCTGGCCCTGGGGACACTGGAGAAGGGGCGACATTTACTAATATAGTTGAGCATAGCACAAACTTACGATGGTTTTAGTTTTGAGAATCCTCCTAATGCCACTTCTCACTGGACTTTGAAACAATCAGATTTGTGATCTTTAAAGACAAAATGTGTAGGATTTTCCTGAAAAACGGCGTTTAGACTCATACAAAAATAAATATCACTTATGACCCGCTAGAAGTGTAAGGGGTTGTCTGTGTCTGCAGAGTCCCTTGCCCTCTGCCTGCACTTGCTTATTTTGTTGGCTTCGGGAAGTTTCTGGGACTCAACCTCTTATAAAAACTTAGCGACAAGGTGGCAGATCGTAGGCACGCTTCCAAGAGGAAGACACCAAAAATGGAGTACACAGCGCCGAAAAACGCAAATATAGCGAGGCCAAACGGCAAACAGACAAAGCTTGTTCCAAGACGAGAGTGAATCTGAGGTTGTTTCACCCACTGACGAGCCCCGTAACTCTAGACAACGCTTAGCTCTCAACTTAATGAGCTGAGTACAAAGACAAAACACTAGACAAAAGGTGCACTGAACTGAATTTGCTGCATTTTGTGGCAAAAGCTAAAGATACAATATTCATGAATTGATTAATAAATTATTGGTTAAACCAAATTACTATGTGAAAACATAGTGCAGAATGATTTAGGTTTTGTGTAGATATTACACAAACAAATGAACTCAGTACGGTGAACATCAGTACCTCAGAGGATAAATTAGTCTCAACATAAACAAACAAATGTCATGGTTGATAGCGGTGTATACCAGAGGGACATGTTCACACTTTGTAATAATGTCTGATAACACATTAGACCACAGGTGAATTCCAGTCAAAGGTGTTGATAAACACATTTCAACATCAACACATGATGCAACCATGTGAGCCATGACCTCAGCTGGGGCAGAAAGACAAATGTACTTGTTTGTGAAAATTGTCGATGAATGACAATGCACATTACCAAGGCCCTGAAACTGAAGAAGCCAAATGGAATTCAGCCTTTATTCATTTTATTTACACTGTTGCTTTTCCTACTGTGACATGTTAAAATGCATTCTGTTAAAAAGGCCTATATTATAATAATAATTAACAGTTTATTTGTATAGCACAAACAGCGTTACAATCACAAAGTAGGGCTGAAACAAATCCTCAAAAAAAAACCCCCCCACCCGGACACAGGTTTAATGGTGAACAGATTGAATTGAACAACAAATACGTGTTGAAACCGGCATGAGGAGAGCTAGCTAAACTGATGGCAGCAGGTGGGCAGGGTTGACGATATCATACAGATTTGTCAATTTGTTACACTCTTGTTTCCATCTTTAATCTGACATTACCTCCACTCTATTTGATCTCCATGGGGGCGGGGGTTCGATTTTCTCGATCCAATCACTGGAGACCAACATATCGGCCTGAAACTAAAGTAATTTGAAGTCGACAGGTGATGTGTTTTAAGAGTGGAGTGGAGCAAGTTAAAAGAGAAATGAAAAGAACAAAACAGAATTAGCCGACGATGTTGGGTGTTATTGAGAAGACATGCCGTATATGTAGAATCAGTAGTGGGCCGTCAGGGCCTGCAGGGCCTTCTCTGCTGGCCTAAACAGAATCACAAAGTTATAGCTATTTTATAATTTAATAATTTTTCTAAATACACTACATGTATTGTAATTTATAAAAATATTTTTCCCATTATCTTATTTTCTCATTGCACAGCTACTGTCTTCCTCAGTTGCTCTGCTTCCAGTGCAGCTTGTTTTAAGTAGAGCTTTTATCCAATCAGATTTCACCTCTGTGTCTCTAGGTAAGAAGACAGGCCCGAGGCCTGCAGACTCACACGTGAATCCCTTTGCAGTTTAAGTGAATGGGGACGATATTGTTGATTGTCATAGTCTTCAACCAATCAGATCTTTAGTTTGACATGTTGGGCGTATTCTTTGACGTAACTTTGGTCGGACCACGGTTGTGGAGCTCCGGTGTCGGGGGTCGGTGGAGGTGGGATCCCAGCCCCTATGTCTCTATGTAAGGAGAGAGGCTCGAGGTCCTCTAGGTAGACTTTGCAGTTTAAGTGAATGGGGACGATATTGCTGATTAGTCTTCAACCAATCAGATCTTGAGTTTGACATGTTGGGCTTATTCTTTGATGTGCCAGAGCCTGCTAGCTGGCCTACAACTACGTCAGCATTACGTGCAGCTCAGTTTTCCGGAGAAGCTCTGCAGTGAGGTGCAGCGTGTGCTGTGATTGGTCAGTGGGCGAGCACGTGACTATCGTGAAACGAAACTTAACAGCAGAGGCTTAGTCGGAGTAGTAAGAGTTCAAATTGAAAGATATGGAAGAAATTATGACATTTTTTGCATTTTGCTTGTTGTAGATTTTAATTTTTTTTACCAGGTATAAAATGCATGGCCC